CGGCTCCAGGAGGACACGAGCAGGGTGGCAGTTGGCAGTCCAGAAACGCAGGAAAAGTCAAGGTTTGGAGCTAGTTTCTAGTCGGTTCAGAAAGTGACGGCAGTCTGGGATACGGGCCGCGGGCCCAATCCATCCTTCACTGCCGTGGTGTTTTAGCCATGCGACACGGTCCTTGGACTCCAGCTTGGACCGAAGCGGTGCAAAACGAAAGCCGGCTCCAGGAGGACACGACAGGGTGGCAGTTGGCAGTGTAGAAACGCAGGAAAAGTCAAGGTTTGGAGCTAGTTTCTAGTCGGTTCAGAAAGTGACGTTTAGCAGTCTGGGATACGGGCCGCGGGCCCAACCGTCCTTCACTGCCATGGTGTTTTAGCCGTGCGACACGGTCCTTGGACACCAGCTTGGACCGAAGCGGTGCAGAACGAAAGCCGGCTCCAGGAGGACACGAGCAGGGTCGCAGTTGGCAGTGCAGAAATGCAGGAAAAGTCAAAGTTTGGAGGTAGTTTCTAGTCGGCTCAGAAAGTGACGTTTGGCAGTCTGGAATACGGGCCGCGGGCCCAATCCGTCCTTCACTGCCATGGTGTTTTAGCCCTGCGATACGGTCCTTGGACTCCAGCTTGGACCGAAGCGGTGCAGAACGAAAGCCGGCTCCAGGAGGACACGAGCAGGGTGGCAGTTGGCAGTGCAGTGTCGTCTCGGGTCTCTTTAGGATGCCATTTAAAGTTTCATACTGCGGTTACGAACGGGGGCTTCGGGTATGGGTCTTAAGTGCTAGAGCAACCCTTTAGGTCCCCAAGACACCTGGCCAATGACGAAAGCTCCTATTTCTTGAGCCATGAAAAAGTGTCAGAGCACATAGTTGTGCGTGTCATCCTGCAGGGGTCCATGCTGCTTGCATGTGCACAGTGCCAAACGCACATACAAATGGTTTGTTTAGGTCAGTTTCTGGTTTCTTTAGGGTTCATTTCATGCTTACGACACAGAGGCAGGCATGACCCTCCAGTGTCCAGGGGTCGGCGGCAGAGGGCGTAGCCCTTTAATATTATATATATATATTAATTAATTAATTCTAGACATATCATCAATATACACAGACACAGCATGACACAGCCATTCACTCTCATTTGACATCTGTTCCTGGTTGGCCTGGATTTCCTCACACTCTTGCCATTCCTGGACGGATCACATGGCGACTTTTCACCACCGATCTTTACAGGTTTTCACTTGGGATGGATCCAAAATCGGTGTTGAGTCACATAGACCCAAGTAATCCACATCTTGGTAATTCTTTTGCGGCATGCATGGTGACCTCCTAGAAACGTATTATATAACCGTGGAACAAGAAGAACCTAGGACCGAAAAAGCGAAACATATTAAGCCTAGCAGGATTAGCAGCAACAGCAGCGGATTGAGGAAGCAGCAGCACAAGGTACTTATCGTAGGAGTGAGACCCTCAAGATGCTGTTGCTGAGAAGGATCATGGCGATGTATGATTCTTGTATATTATTTTGTTGACAATGACGATGCTAATGTTGACTAAGGATGACTAAGGTGTTAATTGAAAGGATGACCCAGGCAAGAGCGCAGATGATAACAAATGCAAGACAGGATTCCGAGGACAATCATGAGCGTGAGGATGATGAGAATAAGGACAACAAGGTGACCAGGGCAGTACAAAATGGTGTTTGGGCCCTTTAAACTTTGGGCCAAGAATGATTACGGTGATGACAATACAGAGAGGGAAAGGGGGGCTGGAACATCACAATCCTGATGAGTTTTGAGCCTCTTGGTGTCCCGCCCAAAAGAAACCATTCAAGAATCCAAACATGGCCAAACGTTACTCACCAATGGCGTAAGCTGATGGTCGGAGGACGAGACGCAGGTGAGTTGCGAATGGCAACAGCGAAGTTCAATGAACTCATTGAAGTAGCAGCATGAATAAAGAATGTTTCAAATGGATTTCTTTTCAAGAATGGGAGAAGGAGGCACACGAGAAGGTAGGACATCCTGTTTCGATCCTGGCGACTGCTTGGTTTCCATTTGGGAGGTTCCTGCAGGGGGTTGAGGACTTTTTGGAGGATAAAATCAAATATTCCCACAGTCTGCTGGGAGAATGTCCTAGCTGTCCTAGCATTGCAGCACCTGCCCAGCTCAAATTCAATGCTGTCTTGTTCGACATAAATAGGAGCCTAACAACGAGGGCAGTTCTGCCAGCACACCCGACTAATCCATACACGGAACAAAACGGTGTTCCCACCTAGTAATTAAGGGTGCTAGAATTCAAAGTGGAAGCATTTGGTACGTGGTGTCCAGTTTGGCATGTTTCATCTCTCCCACTTTGCATGAGAAGTTTCTTGGCACCTGCCATGAAACAACCATCCGACTAGTTCAAATGTAATTCCAACAGCGTCAGCCTTATTTTTCTACAGCATAATGAATTCCCAGTTACATCCTAAGTTAGGAATACTAAGCTCTCATTCTCTCATATTCTCTCGACGAAGTGCCCTCTCTCTTCACCTCTGCAGGCTCCGTGGGTATCGTTGCCTCACCCTGTGATCCTGACGGCTGACCGGCTGACTCTCCATGGAGCATTGATCAGCGATTGATCAGCGATCAGCATGGACAATATGTACTGTTAAATGTACTGTAGACTCTCTGTCTCCGAAAGTCTGAGCGCGGCAAAAACTCAGTAAAGCGAAGATAGTGAAGACAAGATAAAGTAAACTGTCAACGAGTTTTCCATCGTCTGTATCATCACTTCTTCCGCACCCTGTGGACTCATGAACTCGTATCGCACAATCTAGCTCCTTTTTCCACTGTTTGATGTCTTGAAGCTTGCTGAAGTACAGGCCCCAAAAAAAAGCATGAAAAAACCTTACAGAAGTGGATTCCTCTTCTGGTAAACCTTGACCAAGCACCAAGCCTGAGAGCATGCCTTGCTCCTGGCGAGAAATCACAGGCAAGTATGATGCGAAGAAACAAAAAACTAGACCAGGGCAGGTGTCTTAAGAAAAAGAGAAATGTGTCGCTTCAAATGACCGTAAACAAACGGTGACAAATATGGACCGTCAAAGCGTGCGAAGTCCAATCTCCTTTTTGGTGTACATCAAACTGGCTCAGTGGGAACGCCAGAAAAGAAAGATTCCGTGGGAAGGAATCTGTCACGCCATTTGCAGCAAAGAAATCCAAGTGAGCTGATCAATCAGAAATCTCAAAAGTAGGTACAAAGAAATCCTGGCGAAAGTAGAGGCAGAAAGTGGAAGACTGGATATTTAGTGTGTATGTTTGCTTTGTATCGGACTTTGGGCCATCTACGTATCTCCAATCTCAAACACAAAGTAATGAATTCTTCAGCCACAGCTGAACACGAACACTCACGCACTCAGGCGACGTTGTGGATTTTGCAGATGTTTCCCAGTAAGCAAGTATGCGCGCTGGGAGTGCACATGTTAGAGGGGCTTGTCCTGTGTGCGTAAGGTTTACTTTGACCCTTTATGATCGCGCAAAGCCTTGTTGAAAGGTCAGGAACTCCTGCATGCTAGCTCTCAATCTTTGGTGTAGTATCTCTAAGGTGTAAGCAGCATGTTTGCGCATGTGCGTGAAATTTCCAAGGTGATTGGGCCTGACTCCATCTGCTACCTCTCCGTGTCGAAGGTCAAGGAATACAAACATTCCCACCCCACCACACCCTGAACCGCAAGGCAAGTCCACGGTCTCACCTCGGTCTGCAACTCAGCATGGTCGGGTCTGCTCTCGACGACCTCAACATCTCGAATTGTCTGTTGGTTGCAGCTTGGGCAACACATTATGCATGAGAACCATGAAGATATCACAAAATACGCCAGATATGTATATCTACATGTGCATTATATATATATTCTATAATATATATATATAATATATATATATTATGTTATCTTAAAATTATATACACACAATTCCAATCAGGAGAGACGAGTGAGACCTCGCGGCTCCGCAACTATGACACTCTAGCATCGCCTGATCAGCCTTTGGATCAGATTCTGTCGCAGCTCCTTGGAGAGTTGGATGGCCACAGCGAATTCGAAACAAAGCTGTTGTTACAGTCAGAACTTCAGTATTGTATCGCGTGCATCGCTTGTATCGCTTGTATCACTTGTATCACATATTGTATCATATTGTATTATACATACACTAGTTGCATTTAGATGCATTTAGTTGTATCGTTGTATCTGTAGCATCCGTAGTTTCTGTAGCTCTGCCACACATGAGAAGGAGAAAAACCCTGTTGCCAAGATTCCCTCCATGCGGATGCTCGATCCATTCAAACAAAGCGATGGGCATTCAATGCGGCATTCAAGATAGTGGGCCACATCTGGGTGCTGTTTGACGTGCGATGTCTATCAATTGTGGCAGTGTTGTGACTTAAGAATACTCCAACGAAACTAGCCAAGATAGCCACATGGATCAGAGTACAACATGTATATTACTTTGGTCATGGCACAAGCTTGAGCTACGGCTTGCGGGTCTGGTGCGCACTGATGGAAGTCGACCCGCTACACAAAAATACGTACCAACTACTCTTACGTATGTTGAATACTGCAATGTCAGAAAATGAACTAAACGCATGTTTGATCATTTTTGTGCAGGCACGAACTCGGATCGTTGACTGCGTTGTAGGCAAACAGACATGCTCCACGCTCAGTAGCGGTGATCCGCATTTAGCTTGGGTGCCTCAAATGCAACGACTGCAAATGCAATGAGAAGAAAAGAAGGAATGCGACTTATGAATTAACCACCTGTGCAATCAAGACTTTAAAAAGAAACAGGCCTTCCAATTCAAAGGATGCGTTTCCGGAGTTGCATTGGGATCCTGATATTCCAGTTTGAGCAAGCTGCCAGCAAGCAGCCAGGTTTCTGAATAGGACCGAACAGTTGTGACACATTGTGACAGCGCGTCCTCCCGGTAGATTTTGACAGTCTTGTCACACTCCGCAGTGATTAGGCGGCTTCCGCTCTGGTCTAGCCTCAAGCAGGACTCCAGCACGACACAAGCAAAATTAAAGCAGGACTCAAGCAGGACCCAGCAAGGGAATGCAAGGGTTGCATCCTTCGAGCTGTTCAGGCTGTTCATGCAGACAAGCTCAGGACGCCATGTCAAAGATCGCATTCTCTGCACCTGAAAAGGGAATAATTCGGAATGATTCTGACAGCTTACACCATAGAATTGGCATACCATAGCATACCATAGCCTTTGCAAGTTGTGTCTGCATAGAGTGTGAAAAAAACTCTGACAGTTGTGTATGCATTGAGGATCGTCAGCTCCGGGCTCATGCTGCCAGGCTGTGGGATGGCCTACATTTCCATCGATCTTGATCAACATCTGATCAACATCTGATCAACATCTGATCAACTACAGTTAACTACAGAAGTCTTCCCTTGGACGAGTCCAATGAATCAGAGTGCAAGGGCTTTCCATGGCTTTCCTATTGTGCATAGGATCTTAAGTACGCAGTGCTGTCCAAAACAACAGAATCAAATCGTGGTGGGAAGGGCCAAAGGGCCTTGTGGACTGGGACAAATCACTCTGAAACAAGTAATATTCTCTTGTGGATTTGAAATCTGGAGAAAGTCTAGTCTCTGCTCTGCCTCCAAGCTCTGAAACTTGTGGCCACTTCTCCAATCCTGTGGAACATGGATGATGGATGGGAGTGGGCACTGCTGAATGCGGATGGCCAACAGAGATCAAACCGGCCACAGCCAGCACGGTCAGCACAGCAGCCAGCACAGTCCCAGAAATGCAAATAGCCGTTGTCCGTGCCAGCGATGAGCTGTGATGAGCCCTGCTGCCCTTCTCTGATTGTACAGCCTGCAACACTTCTGCAACTCGACCAGATTCAGTCGTCAACTGAGAATCTTGCAAGTTGACACGTTGGTTGTCTTAAACCAAGGTCCAGACAATTGACAATGGAATTGTGGCCCTGAATGTTGCGCTCGAAAGCCCCTTTGGGACACTTCCACACCTGCAAATGCAGTCGTGCGTGCAGAAAGGAAGGGAAACTGCGAAGGTAACAACCAAGAATACAGGGACTCCCAAAACCAAACACTATGTACAGTCCAGCATAAACTGGAACACTGGAACGCTTGTGCGATACATGTTGGGCGAAACAACATGTCATCAAGTCATCAAGATCCTTGCTCGAAGAGACAACACCACCAATAATATTGATACTTGATACATTGATGCATGTCATATTGAAGAATGGTTGTACAAAAGAAAGTATTATGAAATTGAGACCTGACAAAGAGAATGCATAGTTCAGTACTGTACCAGTATGATCTGTGCAATGGGTCCTTAATCAGCGAATCATAGCAGCTACGAAGTATTATATAAATAGAAAGATCCAACACCAGAGTCCGCAGCTTATCCTTGCAGAAATCTCTCTGGACCTAGTCGACCAGAGAAGATTTTCTCAGCAAGGACCACAAATGCAAGCTGTGTAGGGGTTCAAAATCAAAACCATTGAGGTTCCGCAAGACATGTGGCCAAATATCCGCGATCTCACCTTTGGCCACACTACAATTTTTTGGTGCAGAGACTTCGAATCAAATCCGCCTATCCCACCACCCTACTTGAGAGCAGGCGGAGGCGGACGAAAGGTAGTGGAGTGGGAGAGGAGTGGTGTCAAAATGCTGCGCCCCTAAGATGATACACCAAAAACGTTTTTGCGCAGTCTAAGATGATTTTATCCAGAGCATGACTGCATGATACGGTGTCTTGTGCAGCGTGAAATGATGCACGAAAAGGGGTTTATTTAAAACCCCTTTTTAAGACCCCTTGCAGCAACTGTTATTGAGGCTGAAGCAAACCAATCATGCTGGACTACAGGGACATCTCCCTCATGGAGAGTGTGCCTCTACTGTGGCGGACCGTGACCGCGTCACCCGTGGGAATTGAACCCATGACCATTTTAGAGGATAATTGATATCTAATACATAACGTCGAGAATTCTACGTTTTCCACGGGCTGGCCCCCCAATACCCCCTATGATTGTGCTGAAGCACGGAGAACTCAGGTAGCTGACGCTACCTTTCGTGACTTGTATGAAAACCGTCGCACTTCCTGAAAAACCCTTCCAACATTTGCCCTTCTCCGTGTGACGTCATCTTTCGACCAAAAGAGTCCACGTCCCTCTTATGGATTCAGACTGCAATGGATCCCTCTCGCGGCCTTGTTGTTGTCTGAAGAGCACGAGACAAAAGTGTATTCCGTCGGGTGGATTGCCAGAGCCCTCACACTCTTCCTTGATGGAAATCAAAAAAGGACTCCAAAGAAGTAAACACACATATATGCAGAAATCAGGCACAGTGGTGAAATGTGTTGGTAAAAATGCAACCTCTGTCCAACAATTTTCTTGGGTTCGCACTTGTGATTGGTCAATGTAACCTTTGGATGAAGACAAAACAAAAACTGAACGAAGGAGCGTCTTGAAATCTGGTAGGTCAAAGCAGCCGCCACAAATGCAAAAGTCTCACAATCTCTTTACAGCGCAGATACACTTAGCCGGCTTAGCCGGCTTAGCAATCACATCCGCAATCACTGGGTGTAATGCAGCACATTTGCCAGCTGCCAAATCCCATAGCCGAACCTAGCAGATCAATGCTGCATGTGCAGATATGGTATAAATATGTATAAATATGTGTATAAATGAACATCTGGATATGCCACTGAAATCCGCCAGAATATGTCACAACTGTCACGACTGACCACTGATGTCAACCAAATTAATAAACCCCCAGTTTACAAATAGGGGGTCCCACTTTAGTAGTCTAGTATAACCTTGGGGAGTAACCCCCAAATGATCAATCCGGGATTGACATTATGGGAGATGTCTGGATTTCACGTCGTAAGTTCCACGCCATTCTGTCCATGGAGCCGCTGATGAATTGCGGCTCAGAAGCCTGACGTCACTCAGACTAATTCATACTAGGCATACTACATCATGCTTTCCTGTAGCGCTCATCTCGCCATGGTGCTGCAGAAAACCCTGAATCCGCTAGAAATGAGTAGACTTGCAATGTCATGCAAACACTCTTGTTTTACAGTCAGAAAGATCCGCAGGCCTGTGATGCCAATGAGCAAATGGCATTGGTGTGACCGGTGAATACAAAAATGCCAGTCTTCGTCCGCATGTCCCAAATGCGCACGGAACCATCTCGACCACCTGATTTCGGCCCAAGACTTCCATAAGGTCAGAATGTATTGGATACACATACCGTCACAGACCAATCATTATATTACATCACATTGCCAAACGGTGGATCCAAATATCGTATCGTTCTTTATCTTTACTATCTGATGTCTGCTTTCATATTGCTGTTTTCTACGCGTAAGATGTGAAGGAGACCTTTGAAAGGGTCCCATTGATGCAGCACAGCGCACAGCAACGACCAACCTGTTGCAAGGATATTCAAGGTGGGGTGCAGAACGAGGCAGTAGACCTCGGTAGACTCCACTGACGGCTGAGTTGCATTGATTGACCAAGGAATGATCAAGGTGTACTTATCAAACTTCTGAAAGCAAACGTTCATGTCAAAGAGTAAGGCAGCAGCGCCACTAAGGTGCCCATGGTAGTTTCGAATCACCTGGCAAAGCATGCAAAAATGTCACCCTCTTGATTTGTTCTTTTTGAAACTGAGGAGCACACCATGTTCTGCTCCAAATCCCAGCACTTCACTTCACAATCTTCGGAAGCACTGAATAGGTACGGATGCCTGCAGCAAGGGCTAGATTCAGTCACAAGCCACACGGACTCTTGCACTCTTCATGTTGACCTAGCACCCGTGGCAGCAGTCTTTGCACATTAGTCACATTAGTATATTTGTTCTTTGGATTCGACATTGAAAACCATGCCTGTCAGAAATTGCCACAGCCCGGACTGTGCTGACATGCCCTGTCAAAGACAATTTCAGCCTCAAACGAAAATGTCGCTGATGATTATTGTCGCATCGCAATCAAATGCACAGCAAAAACACGCAACCAAAATGAATTGACTACCTGACGCCTTGCATTGGTTTGCCTTACGTCAGTTCCGTGCTTGATGCTTGCAATATCTGACCATCTCAGAGCCACACGTGCCGCTTGCCAAATCCCAAATCTTAATGAGGCGATCGTTCCCAGAGGATGCAAACCTTGTCGCGTTGCTGTTAGACTCAGAGGCTTTGAAAATCGAAACAGTTTGACTTTTTTGGGAGCCAATCTAAGAGAAATATCTAAGAGAAATCTAAGCCAAGCACCATTCATTTGTCGGATCCACTGCAACTGTACGTACCCAGCCTTCGTGTCCCGACCTTCCGTTCTGATTTGCTGCGTAAAGTTGATGGGGAAATGAAACCAAAACAAGACATCGTTAGGCCCTAGAGAGTAGGCCGTCGGCATAACCCTCATCAACTTCCACGGTGGATGCCATATGGGCTTCGGAATTTCAGGACGCTCTCGAAGGGGACGCACCTGTCATGGCTCCAAAAAGTGCCACCATGTGAGTGCTTTCGTCCACCGCAGGGTCAACTTAGCCAGCAATTACAAACAGAGTGGAGTGCACTGCACCATGAAACAGAGAAATCAGCTTCAAACACCGCCAGCTCAAAGCAAGGGTTGTTTTAATCAAGACTCTTGTCATTGCACGAAACAGACTATGTGTTCGGAACGGCTAGTACGATGAAAAGTGACGATACATGACGATACTGATTCCAAGACCGTCCCAGCCTGAATCTGTGTCGAAGGATCTCCAGAAACTTTGGGCACTAGTGGCATCACCTGGCCAAACGCGTTCCTGTCTGAGTGTGAAAAAACTCTACCGAGCCTTCAAAAACAAACATGCCCATGGAACCGGTCCGACTGCAGGACCAGATTTTTGGCCAGTTTCCCCATCCTGGCACAAGCTCGAAGCCAAAGACACAGCAGCCAGACTCAGGCGACTTTCTCCTTGGCCGTGGGCTACCAGATCTAGCAGTACTTTTCAAGCGAGCTGGTCAAGCCGTCAGCATCTGCGTGATTGATGAAGGCAGAGCCTTGGTGACTCAGAGATACTCAGAGTGACAGCAGTTCTTTTCTGCTGTGATGCCATTCCAAAACAAGGCTTAAAACCTTGCAACATTGATGTCAAGTGGACTATATACGACATGCTAAAAGTCTAATTGTTGTAATCGTGCAAATGCGAAACCTGCCTCTCTTGTCGCATCATCAGCAGGAGCGCTGCGCAGGAATGGCAACCTCAGTTGTCAAGTGAAGGTGCATCCGCATCCCCACACACCCCAGCTGCGAATCGGAGCCGGACACAGCATTCTCATCGGTCACCTGTTCCGGCACATCCCGAATGTGTTCATACCTGGCACGAGGCAAAATATTTGAAAAGCTCGTCAGGAAAATGTGGAGAGGATTCAAGAAAATCGTTAAACTAGGCAACCGGTTGACTCGCCATCCTTGTAAGGGTGACAAATCTGAAATTGAGATGTTCGAGGCTAAGAGACAAAATGCTGGTATTTGTGGGACTTGTCAAAAAATGTTTGCAACATGGACATCCATTTCGATTGGCAGGCAAGTGACTCAAGTGTCAAAATATGCGTTTCGCCTGCCCGGTGAATCGATTTTGTTCTTCGAGGGCTAAAGAAGAAACATTAGAAATTTATGATTTTCAATTATCCCATACATTTCCCCCCCACCCCCCCCGACGAGAGAAGCAACATGTTAACAACGGCAACAAGTTCCGTGGACCATGTTTAATACTCGTCAAGAACGTTATCACACCCCCCCCACCCCCCACCCCCCCGTGACGACCATAAGAGAGCATCTGCAACACATTGAACAAAGCTGAAATTCAAATCCTGAACCCCCATTTTCGCAACCTTCATTTTTCAAATTTGCAACCCTTCCACGGGATCCCAAATGGCACATCTCAAAATAAGCAACCCTTCCAAGGGCGGCGTATCAGCCACATGCCTTGCCTTAAACTACCACGCGAATAAGAAGCAAATATCAAAGACTTGGTCGGAGGCGCTCATCATGCATTTTCATTCGGAGCATCATGTCTGTGCCTCGGCCGTCCTGAAAGAGAATGGGACTCCAAAAGAATGAAGTCGAATTTGACGAGGATCCCAAGTCACATTTTTCCAAATCAACCGGATGGAGGCAGAATGGGGGAGCTATCAGCAGCTGGTCAATTCCAGATCAAAACCATTTTGAAACGGTCTGCGGTCCTCAACACGCTTGAGCTCTTCATTTCCAACGAAGATATCATGCGTTCTTTTCAAGGACTTCCTGCCGCCAAGACTATACTGCAATCGTGACCCTTGAGGTGTAGAATCCAAGAGTCCGGAAGTTCCGGCTTGCATTGCAAGCTGCGAAATTCGATCTTAGACTGAAACACACTGAAACACACGTTCTACTACAAACTCACCAGAAGTCACTAGCAACGTCACAACTTGGAACGGCACATCAATGCACTCTGCCACAGCTATGGCACACCATCCTCACCGCTAATGTGACTGGCGTTCGCTCTCGTGGGCCCAACCTCAATTGATCTTGGCTTGCCACATGCTGCACTTGGCAAAGTATGGAGTCAGGCAGATCAACAAACTGAGTTTCCATCGGATCTGCCTGAGAGTGACTCGCTATCCAAGAAGCGAATGAGGTTGACAAAAAGTTTCTGATCTCTTGAAAAATCTTGAAATGCAATAGTGTTCAGGGCCTCAGCGACAGCTGCAGTCATCTTTCGCCCATGAAAAGTTCAGATGTTTAGCGCTAAACGTGTCTGAATGCACCAATGTTGTCTGCATATCTACTTCGCTGCCGGATTAAATCTCTCGGATGCTGTGGGATTGGGCACTAGAGAGAATCACAGCGTACTGCATTAAGTTGTTGCTAGTTTCGACACTTATGGCTTTTGCAAGACATGCAAGAGTCCTGTTCTCTTAAACAGCACAAAGAAGACAGAACCATCAGCTAAAACTGCCGCAGATAAATGCAGTGGTGACGAAACTCAGAAGCCCTCCATTGCACCCCCTCGCGCCAACCTTGCACCCTTATTGAATCCCCCATCATTGGTGCTGAATGATTGGACTGAACAACAAATTGCTGGCTTTTTGCATTCTCAAGCTAACCTTGTTGGAATCAATCGATGAACCGCACCTGGCGGGTCTTGAGTTGTCAGAGCTCAAGTGCGGAACCCACTATCAAAGGTCATGTCATGTCTTGCTGGCAAGGCGTGTCGGGACCACCAGCACCACTGTCTTGATATTCCTGACGAGAAATCCAGAATCTGGAGTTCGCCTGCCAAGGTCCAAAAAGAATTCTGTGAAGAGCGTGAACTCCAATTAGACTGCCCTCTCTCGCCTGCTGCTCGTATGCATCAGCCATAATTGATGCTCCCAAGAAAACCATATGCTGCCGATGCGGAGGGTCCTCCAAAAAAAAATCTCAGATCCCATGTTGACAGAGTGATTCCAACATATTCCAACATGCTTCAAGTGCTGAACCCCGCCTCCACATGAACCCTGAATTTACTGGCACGTGAGGTGTCTCCACGAAGTACATTCTTCAGGTAGAGAGCCTTGAGATCCTTCGGTCAAACTCTGTTTTCGATGAGGACACGAGTGACATGAACGGAATTCAGGTGACTTCAAGGGACATCACTGTGAATAAATTGGCGATGTCCTTTTCAAGTCTTGAAGACATCCCTGGAAACATTGTCGTTCCGCCAGACAGCAGGATCTGCTGGAAATAATCCTGGACAAAAGGGACCAATGGAGATGAAACCAGAGCACGGGAATGTGACGAGGATTTGCATTCGTGTTCCACAGGTTCGGGACCTCAAGCCAAATTTCATGTGCTGCACAATGCAAAGAGCTTTGTGAAGTCTAGCCGCAAAATGTCCCTTCTTTTTTGTGTCTACATTTTCCACTGCCGCAGACGCCATTCAAGTGCACACCTTTCAACAAAGCGCGGTTTACCTGCTTCTCTCATTGTGCTGAAAACGTGATGGGTTGAAATCATTTCAGTGCACAAAGAGTCAGAAGGCAACGTGGCAGAAACTTACAATGTACACGTTTTGCATGAATTGAAGGAGCCGACTTGATACTTGTGCAATCTTCTGTGAATATGTTATATATATATAGCTGGTAGGTTGCGTTGGCTCATGTCAATTGCAAGTTGGCCAGCTTCACTCTGTTTGCTTTGTTCTGTTCCCTTCTTGCCATTTTGTGCCTTTTTGAAATATATTGAAATGAAAGGTTCTGCACCCTTTCGTAACTCCAAAAGATGAAATATCAAGCTGTGGTTCTGTACGTGGGCTGTTGGAACTAGAGGAAAACCTGAGAAAAAATGCCTGCTTTCTGGATGAACCTTTCTGGATGACCCTTTCGAATGCCGGTCTCCAGATTTCCAAGGCTCAAAGTCCGTCTCGGCGCACTCAGCTTTGGTTTGCTTTGCTTTCTTTTTCCAGGTTGAGGGCACAGTAGTGGAAAGAGGCGGCTGGACAGGGAGTCCGTTTTGGGAGAGCTGGATGACGAATTGACGCAACCCTCGCAAAACTGCAAAACTGCAAAACTGCAAAACCCAGCCAAAGCATCCTTCTGAACATGGATGTCAGATTTCCTGATGGTGTTGAAAACCTGAGGCCGCAAAGTAGGAAACAGTAGCAAGATGATGATTACAAGAAGCCATGTAGCGACTGTTTTCCAGCACATATTTTCTTGTGTGCTTTCGCCTTCTACACCCCAAATCATCTGCATCGGCTTCGACGTGTCAAAAACCAGGGAAGACACAAAGAATGTGGCTTCAGTGGCCCAATGACACTCGTAGCATCATTTTCATGGGGTTCTAGCTGACACTCGCAGCCATACAGCATACATCTATATATATATATATATATAATTATACTTATATATATATATATCCTTCCCAAATATCCAAGTGCCACAGTTCTGTCATACATGACTCAAGAGAGAAGGCTAAAAAATGATAGGGCTGCATCTTGTATCTTGCATCTCTCGCAGGCAAGTCACCAAGTCGGCCAACCCATCCGCATCTCCATGCCCAGCCAAAGCTGGGTTGAACCTAGGGAATCATTAGTGATCAGATGTAATGAGTCCCTTCAAGACAGTTTGAACGGACGCGCTGGTCTACATATTGTGTGCATGTGAGTGTGTTAGTGAATATTTGCCCCCATCGCAATGCTCCATTGTCATCCATTGTCCATAATGTATCCTTCCTCCATTGAGCTGAGACGCAAGATTTCAGGCGCCATGAAACGTTCAGCCCCAACTCGCATTGTGCGACTGTCCGGCAGCACGTACCTGTGGCGTTCTTTTGTCAGCAGCTTCAGCAGCTAGCAATGGCAAGAGCTCTGGTACCGAAGGGGGCACTGCCTGTCAACAAGCGTTGTCTCTCTTGCCTTGGTGACAAGTCTGTGGTGCAGGGCTACACTGGTTTCAAGACAAAAGGTATGAAATCAAAACAACTAACACCGACTAACACAAACACGCTTGACTGCTTAACTGCTTCGCTATGTGACAAGTTTTTTCTCGGCTTCCGGATCGTAAGCCACATAACACAATTTCTGCTTGACCTTGGCCGGTAGTTTCCCAAGTATGCCAAGGGCAATGAACAAAATGAACAGGAACAAGGAGGACAACGCCGACAACAATCACCACAACCCCCACAATCACTACCACAGCAATGACGACAGCAACAGCCACAGCGACAACGACAACGACAAAAACAAGAAGTACACGGCCAACACGGAAGTTGCACTTGCCTCGCGAACAGTCTCGAAGTCAGTTGTAGAGTTCAAAGGATGCCCTTGACCTCCCGGCAGTTGCAAAATGCACCCTCACTTTCTTGGTCTGTTGTCGCGCTTTTTCAAGGCGTCTATATGCAAGCTCGGGTGCATTGTGTTTCAAACTCAAGCAGCTCCTCCAAATTCAATCTGCAGACAAATACTCGTATAGAGCCATGCGTGGAGTTGCCCTACATCCTCTTCTTTTCCCGAATGTGCTTGGCTTGCACTGGAGCTCCTGTGAATTCTACATTTACCTGCCTCGATAGGATTGTGTAAAGGAAGAGTTCAAAAATGTGGTGTTTTTGTTCGCAAATTTCTCAGCCACCTTTGCACCTGCAGCTGCATCGTTCCTATCCTTTCCATGCTGGAACACGTGTTTTCTACCAAAAAACGAAACGCCAGCATTGTCTTTCACAAGAGAGAAAAAGAGAATGCACCAATGCTCCATAGTAGACTCCAACACCTCTGTAGAACCAAGCGTTGTTTGCTTGAAAGTTATCTATATAATGTATACGGTCATTTGGAAAAGTTTGCAAGGAACAATGCCACAATGCTATTCCTATGATTTCTCCCTGATCCTCAAGCTCCCACGGATCTCTCACGGATCTCAGGCCTTGCCTACAAGAAGCTTCATGAGCTGCTCTGTCACATGTCTCCCTGCCAAGTTTACCTTGGAATTGCCGGCGTTTACCACGGTTACAGTACCCAAAATCCCCAAGCGCTAGGAGTGTATCCAGAAAGCCAGTTGAAAGGCTTGTATGAAGAGTACAAGTTGTAGGAAGGAACATCGGTTGAAATCTCTGTCCGACAAGACACTCTTTGAACCAGTGCTGGCTCCAAATAGCCTTCAGTAACCGGTACCAAATGAGTGACCCCATCTCCAGAATCAACCTGAGCTCCAACCAGGAACAAGTGAAAGGGGGAAGACTAGTTGGCCTGCGGAGGCTTGCGGTAACTCACTCTGATTGTTCTACAATGTAGAGAAACACAGTGGAATGACACAGTGGAATGGACTGAATAGACTGCAGAAGTGATCTTGGTAGGCGACCACAAAGCCTGACTGCAAGCCACGCGAGTTCAGCGCTAAAATGGCCTCCGCTGATGCTGTGTGATTTGATCGCTGCGAAAGAAGGATTGTATTGAACATTTTACACCAGCCACAAAATGCACATGGAAAAAGTGAAGGCCTGCACGGATACGTTCACTCCAGCAAAGCCATACTTCTCAAACATAATCTCGACCTTGTGCGCAACAAGCTTCTCTGGTCTGCAAATCAAAAGAGATCACAGATTGGCAAAAGTGTCAAACTGTGCGAAGTGCCATCTTCTCACGATTGCGAGAAGGATTTAGAGCGGCTTCAGTTTGTAGAACCTCAGCAAGCTCTTGCAATGCAAAAATATCCTGCTTGAATATGCTTGAATCTCTAAAAATGACAAAACATGGCAAAACCACGCACTGGATTTGTGAACCTTGTGGTCCGCAGGATTGACAATCCCGAGCTTCTTGAAGGTGTAGTCCCAGACAGCCTCAAGGCAAAGAAACGACAGAAACAACACCGATGACTCGGGTCATCTCAAGTCATCTCAGGTCCAGCCTCCATCCCTTCCCAATCCTTCACAACACCGTTCTGGATCGGTCTCGACAACTGCAACACGGACCTTGCAATATCTTGCAATATCTTGCAATATCTTGCAATATCTTGCAATATCTTGCAATATCTTGCAATATCTTGCAATATCTTGCAATATCTTGCAATATCTTGCAATCTTTCGCAGTCGTTTGTCCATTTTTTTATTTTTT